GGGGAGCCCGTGGGGAGACAGGAGGGGTGAGGGGAGCCCGTGGGGGGGGGCGGGGGGGGATGGAAGCCTGTGGGGGGGAACGGGAGCCCATGGGCGGACAGGAAGGGTAACGGGAGCCCGTGGGGGACAGGAGGGGTGAGGGGAGCAGCACTGTGGCACTTACCTGGTCATGTTTCTCAAACACCCGCTGCACAAACTGGTAGCCAAGGTGGTTGAGCTCCGTGCTGCAGCCAGGGGGCACGTGGAGCCTGCAGAGATGCCACAGACATCTGGCACACGTCCTGCAGTCACTCTGTTGTCCCTGTGTCAGCAAGCCCTCCCATCCCAAGACTGGGGCCAGAAAAAGATGGCCCGGCCAGCCCCTGGCTCTCGAGTGTGGATGGCCTGGCTGGGGTCCCCACACAGAGGAGCTCTCTGAGGGCCCATCCACTTGCCCAGCACAGTGGAGTGTAGGTGAAGGGGGTTCTGGCTCACATGGTGGGGTCCAGTCCCAGAGAGGCCTGCTGAGCAGAACAACTGCCCGGAGGGAGAGCCCCGCGGCCCTGGGCCTCTTGCTGCCTGCTACTCACGGTGGGAAGAGGTAATCAGCCGTCAGCTCCAGCGTGTCGCTGTAACCGAACCGCCGCAGGATGGTCCATGTGGTCTCGTGCCGGCCACGCTGGATGAAGAGTGTGTTCAAGAAGAGGAAACCTGTGGCAGGGCAGAGTGGAGCTGGCACCTAGCACGAGCCAGCCCCTGGCCCCCACGCCGGAGCCCGGGCCGCGTCCAGCCTCACCCTCCAGGGTCAGCCCGACCCCCCCACAGGCCGGAGCCCGGGCCGCGTCCAGCCTCACCCTCCAGGGTCAGCCCGTTGTCACGCACGCCGCCTTCCACGTTCTTACACACTACCCTCTTCACGTCCTCCAGGGCCTGTGGGGCCAGAGGGTGGCCAAAGCAAGACTTCTGCCTCCAAGAGGAAGTTGCCTCTCGTCAGCCAGCTGCCCCAGACTGCTAGGTCTCACCACTGAGGGTGGCCAGTGCCTAAGGGCGGGTACCTCAGGGGCAGGCACACCTGGAAGGCACTGAGCTCCTCGTCGCTGAGCGTGTGGTCCAGGTCCTGGTCCGAGAGTCTGAAGATGCGCGTGAGGGCCTGGATGCATGCGGGCCGCAGCTGCAGGGATGGGCGGCAGCTCAGCACCAGGCAGCCTCCACCATCACCGTCCCGATGACACCCATGTGGGCACCGGGAGGGGAGTCCGGGAGGTGATGAGGCCCACAGCTCACCTGCTTGGCTTCTGGATCATAGAGAGGGGCTGTGGGATGCAGAACAGCCTTCTGGGCGTAGTAAAACAGCTCTGAAATGTTCCTCAGTTGCTTGGCTGAACACTGGGAGAACACAGACAAGCATGGGGAGACACCCAAGAGAGACCCAGGCATGAGAACCACCCCTCCCCCAGGAACGTCCTCAGCAGAGCACCTTCTGCTCTCCCGTCTCCTCCCTGACTGCCACTCACCTCCACGCAAGTCTCTATCTCAGGGAACTGGCTCATGATGGGCAGCACGGCCTCCATGGCGCTCCCCAGTCGCAGGTCTGACTTGTTGCCCACCAGAATAATAGGCAACCTTGGAGAGAGGTCCAAGGTCAAGAAAGCAGCCCCGCTGGTGGGCCTGGCCACCTCCATGCCCCCAAGGCTCTGCTTCTCACCTGGACCCCCTCTCAGTCCTTCCATTCACCAGTGGGATCCACTTGGTTCGGATCTAAAAAGCAAAGAGGGGCTGGGAAGGTGGCTCAGTGGTAGAGCGCTTGCCTTGCATGCCAGAGGCCCTGGGTTCGATTCCTCAGCACCACATAAGCAGAAAAA